GTGTTTTCTAATGCAAACAGATCTATCCAGAATAAGAAATGAATTCATCTTTATAGTTAGTTGTTAGATTTGTTGTTGCTGATCACTGGAAAATTAAAGTATATTTTTGTTGGATTAAAAATGTGTGAAATTACATTGGCCAAAAAATTAAATGAACAACAAGGGACTTTGAAAAGGTTTATAGTAACAGACAAATTCAGTCAAACGTAATATTAGATAAATTATAGCATTTTTATTTCTGTACAAATATCATTTTGAACATAACGTTGGATATAGATAATTAAAATGTGTTATTTCTACTGAAGAATATATGTATTTATATATGTCGATGTATGTGTGAATGTATGTGTATGTATGTTTTTTCAATATGCTACTGGGCTTCATTATTTTTTAAAATTCTGTATTGTTATTGATAGTTTTTATTCCAGTTTGCTGGGGGAATTGCCTTGCAAAATGGTCATTTCAACAACATTTTTCTAAAACAGAAGAGACTCTATATTGAATTGTGGTGATCTGCTGACAGTATATCTAACCCTGTATTGCAGATACCGGCGTGTACCAGCTCTTCAGGCTGTCTTGTAGGACTCTCACATCCTTACCTGGAGATGCTGGGGATTGAAAGTGACTTTCCTTTATGTAAAACATCTGACTGATACAATTAAAGGGGGAAAAAGGCTGGCAACATGGCAAACCTCCAGGCCAGTATTGGTCAAACGATACTAAATGATCAAGGTTCCTTCTGCTGCCTGCAGAATCGCCCTATCTTTCTAAATCATTAATAACATAAGCGGCATGGCTGCAAAAAATGGCATGCCTTTCATATATAAATGCTATCCTGTAATATCTAGAAATCTTATCTTGTGATGTGATTAGGCCATGTATATCTCCCTGTTTCTGCTCCATGTTGGTTACTCTGGGCTGGGACAGCGAAGCTCAGTGACTGGGCTCACACATCACGCTAAATCAGTCTGTTTAATGCTAGATTACTGAGTAAGTCATAATGGCTGGGGTCTCACGATACATTAAAGCAAAACCAAGCCCATATCATAGTGTGGCTTAGCACTGTGGGTGAATAAAACCACACTGTGGCTCAGTTCTAGCCATATACGAATGCCACTCACACAGTATCTAGGAACTGGTTTTGGCTATAGTCCTACATCAGTTTCTTAACTCAATCCTTCCCCAAGTTGGGGGTTTGGGGGGGTTAAATTTCATGTTCGATCCCAGCAGTGCTTATTTTTTATTTATATTCCTCTGTAATTAGAACTCAGCTCTGACATTCAGTGGGAATTACTCTTGATGCAGGTGGTTACCAAATTTACAAATTAGCATGGTCTGATCTTGACTGCCACAAGTTCAGCATTCTGACTGCACCAATGCTTATTCTGCACATAGGGAATTCATCTAAATCCCCCCAGGGTAAGTACCCAGTTTCATGAGCAACTAGGATCTTGAATATGTGGAGATTAATTATGGAGTTGGCATATGTAATTCAAATTCAAGTTCCCTTTTTCACAAGGGTTCAAGAGTCTACTATTTTATATCCCCCTAATAAAACAGCCTGGCACCTTTCATTTCCCAGACCATCACCTATTTCCACATCTGCTTTGTACACAAGTCTGGTTGCTCACTGTTTTGTCTCTGTGCTGCTTTCACTTTGACTTTCAATCTGCATTCATTCTGGCTTTTCATTTCTGTTTCATGAAATCTAATGGTGCTTTGGCAGACAATTAAAGGATATATTCTCAGTGGCATTAGATTTAGTCCATCAAAACTAGATTAATTTTCAGGCCTGAGAAATCCCAGGAATGATAAGCAGGAAAAGAGGCACAGCCAATCCAAAGAACATGAGCTCTAGAAAGCAAACTGTATTAGTGTATAAGCTACAGCATATTGCATTTGAGATAAATAGTTGAAAGGGTACATGTGAACCTGAATAACAGAGGAACAAGCGTCTATGAGAAGTATCCAGATATGGAAATACAATTGGTTGAAACTCTGTAAACTTCTCTGCCGTGTGTAAAAGGTGTCACTTTGAGAACTGATTAACAACGTCCACCAGATGCATTCCAGTTTTTCTGCTGGACATAAAAAGTCTGTGGTTAAGTACAGGTGATCCCCAGTTTAAGAATGAGTTCTGTTCCCAAGGTCTGTCCTTAGGTCGAATTTGCATGTAAGTCGAAACAGTATTATTGTATAATACTGTGTAAGTAGCATTGTGTAATGAACTCGAACCATTGTGTATTGAACTTGAATCATTGTGTATTTAACTTGAAATTTGCTACAATAGGCTCCGGTTTTAATTATGGGTCATCTGTAGCCCGGGCGTTCTTAACCCTGGGACTATCTGTACAGAGAGCTACACACAGGATCACAGAGAAGTGGGCAGGTGTCAGTTATGTGTTTACATATTTCCTTGCTCCTTCCTGCTTTACAAATGCTACACACTAGTATAGATCTGCAACAGGTTCTGTTGCTTGCTTGTTTCTCTGCTGCCATGCTAATTTTAAAAAAGAAATCTGTGGAGCTAGATAGACAGAGCTCTGCCTTCATATAAAACAGCTTGCTTCATTCTAGAACATTTTGCTGGCTGCCAATTTTTGTCAAAAAATTGTGTTAGTATCTCATGCTAGTACAGGACACTTCTTTAGGTCTTCCACTTGTAGCTTGTCTGTGTGTTAGGCAGTTAGTGGAATCTCTAGATTCCCTTTATCACTAACCTGCTTTAATGATGGAGTACTGAAGAAGCTGTAGGGTACAAAGTTACCCACCAATGCTCACTGAGTGACTTGGGCCAGTCTCCCTTTCTCAGACCAACCTACCTCATAGGGTTGTTGTTTTGAAGAAAAATAGTGCGCTACACATGCCTTGACTTCCAGGATGAAAGGCACAATAGAAATCTAAGAACAACAAAAATGCTAAGCTATAAACCATGCCACGATAGGTTCAAATGTTGCATTAAGCCAACACCAAATAAAACAGGTTATTCAGTGTGTGAACCCACTTAGCATGATATGAGTTCATGCTAACCTGCTTTTTGTGCACTTCCTCCAAAAGTGCACTCTATCTTTCCATGCAGGAGCTTCACACTGCCGTGGCAGATGTCCTTGGCACCCTGGCATTTCAGGTTGGGCAATTGCTTTGGCGGCTGCAGCAGCCTTTGCCTGCCCAGAAAAAGGAGGTAAGACTTCCTTGCGAAGACCACTTGTCATCGCAGTCCCTTCTATATTTCTATAACTATCCTGCAACCCCGTTTTACAGATTGGAGGTAGATTGATGAAAGGCTGACTGGCCTAAAGCTCTTAACAGTAGAAGACCTAAAAGTGACATTCTGGCCATGTGGACTTCATGCTTTTAGTAATGTCTTGTCTGTTTATATTGCCTTCCTTCCTCCTCCAACCTTTAATTAAGAGATTTGAAGATCCTGAAAGTGTATTTTTGTACACCCGGCTGGATAAAGTTATGGCTAATAGCGGTTCAGTTCTGTGTACCATTTTTCATAGCAGGCTTTGTGCTCCTCTTGCTAATTTCAAGGGGCGTGCGCCTCGCCTGTGTGTCTGCAAAGAACAGAAATCAGCCATGGAGCAGCTGCCCCCAATGAGGGAAAAGGAGAGGAATTAACGTGAAGGAACAGAGCAACACCTGTTACTGTGGTCCTAAAACAGGAAAGATTGAATATGGGCAAAGTATTCCCAAACATGTTCAGTTCTGGACTGAAAACCGGAAAGTGTCGCTTAGACAGATGCCTCTGTTCGCTGGTGGCTGAAAACCGCACGGAGCAAACGTTTGAGTGCGGGATTGCGCTTGTGCATCCACCTTCCAGCAGGTCCATCATCCCCTGGTTTAAAAATCTGTTCCTGTTACAGGTGCTTCGCCAACTGCAGGACCGCCTTTCGCGTACGCACACCGACAGCAGAAGACTGGGAAGCATAATCGCGCAAGGTGTAGCAAATCAACTTCGCAACCGCAGATGGCCCTCGGGCTGGGAGCGTCTCCGCCACGACCTTCGTCCCGGGGACCTCTCACCAGCGCAACGAGGGAGTCGCGGTCTTGGGCTCGCGCCCGCTTTCGCAGCCAGAATCGCCCGCTTACAATAGCAACGAAGCAGAGCGACAGCCAGCAGGAAAACGCACCCAGCCCTCCTCACCCTCACCGCCGAGAAGAAGGCGGGGGAACCTCGGTGCGCAGGCCCCTCCCCACCGGTGCGTGCTGAGCGCAGGCCCAGCTGGCTTCAGCAGGCGGGCAGGAGCCGAGACCAGTGCGAGGGGACGCGCGAGGCAGCCGGCCGCGACCGCGGAAGGGAGCCTTTTCTGGAGCTGGATACGGCCGTCCGGGCAGGGCCGCGAGGGAAGGGCGCCGGGGAGGAGCCGGAGCGCGGAGGAGGAGCCGCTGCAGCCCCAGCCTGCGTGCGTCAGGTCCTGCAGGCAACTCGGCAAAGTTCAGGGAAGACAGGAAAGCGGCGCCTTTGAGGCGACAGAACAGGCGAGCCCAGCCCACCCGGAGCGAGGTGGGGGGCTTTCCCAGTCCTCGCCGGGGAGCGTGCGAAGGCATCTCCCGGGGAAAAGTTTCTGGCGTGGCCGGGAGCGAGCGGCTGAGCTGAAGAAGCGGGTCCCATGGAGGGACGGGAGCTGCAGGAACAGCCGCCCGAGCCGGAGGGACGCGAAGGCGTGCAGCCCTGAGCGGTGGCGCACGGCTCCTCGGTCTCCATGGGGGCGGGCGGCGTGCCTTAGGAGGCAGGCGGGTGCCCGGCTCGGCGCCGTCATGGCCAAATGGCTGAACAAGTACTTT